CCAGCACTGCCCCTCGTCCAGGGAGAACCTGGGGGCACGGGGGGCACAGCCAGGGACCACCAGGGACAACCTGGGGGCACGGGGGGCACAGCCAGGGACCACCAGGGACAACCTGGGGGCACGGGGGGCACAGCCAGGGACCACCAGGGACAACCTGGGAGCACGGGGGGCACAGTCAGGGATGACCGGGAAGGGGGATGCCTCAGAAGCAGGGACCACCTCAGAGAACCTGGGGGGCACAGCCAGGGACCACCGGGGAAGGGGCATCTGGGAATGGGGGTACCCCAAAGCCAGGGAGCCCAGAGTCAGGGACCCCCGAGACAGGGACACCCCAAACCCAAGGATAACCCAGAGCCAGGGGCAGCCCAAAGCCATGGATCCTACAGAGCCAGGGACCCTGGACAGAAGAACACCTCAAACCTGAGGGATGCCCCAAACACAGGAAGTCCCCAAAGCCAGGGACACCCCAAACCCCCAGGACCCCCCAGACTCACAGGAGGGTGCTGAAGGGCTGGCTGGTGTGCTGGATAGTGTTGAGGACCTCCCCAGACCCCCAGGACTGCTCAGGACCCCCCCCAAGACTCACAGCAGGGTGCTGAGGGGCTGGCTGGCCACAAGCAGCCCCCCCAGACCCTCAGGACCCCCCAGAGCTCCCCCATACTCACAGGAGGGTGTTGAGGGGCTGGCTGGTGTGCTGGATGGTCACAAGGATCCCCCCAGGACCCCAATAACCCCCTCATACTCACAGGAGGGTGCTGAAGGGCTGACTGGTGTTGAGGACCCCCCCAGACCCCCAGCACCCTCCCGAGCCCCCCCATACTCACAGGAGGGTGTTGAGGGGCTGGCTGGTGTGCTGGATGGCCACGAGCAGCCCCCCCGAGTCGAGGATGCCGTAGTGGTGGGGGCCGCGCAGGGTCCGGGCCCAGCTGTAGCCGCCGTCGTCGGACACGAACACGTCGGGGCTCATCACGGACATGGCCCCCCCGACGCTCCCTGGGGGCTCACGTCAGTCCGGGGGGCACCGGGGGGGTCCCCGCAGCCCCCCCGGCCCCCCCGTACCGTGGGCGAGGACGATGCCCACGGCGCTGGGCTCCGACAGCGGCGCCATGGGCACGTTGAGCTTCTGCGAGATGCTGTACAGGGCGTGGATGTGCAGGCTGCACTGCAGGGGGGGGCACTGTCAGCACCCCCAGGGGGGACACAAGATCCCAACGGGGCTCACGGGACACCCACGGGGCACATGGGACGCCCACGGGGCATGCAGGACACCCAGGGGGGACATGGGACCCCCTCCAGGCACATGGCATCCCCACGGCAGCCCCACAGGGCACACGGGACCCCCACGGTATCCATGGACCCCCACAGGGCTCATGGTACCCCCACGGCATCCATGAACCTACCACGGCACCCACAGGCCCCCCAGGACCCCCATGGCACCCACGGGATCCCCATGGGACCCACAGGACCCCTGGGGACCCCCATGGCACCCATGGACCCCCCAACCCCACATGGCACCCACAGAACGCCCATGGGACCCACAGGACCCCCAGGGGACCCCCATGGCACCCATGGGACCCCCACGGGACCCCCAGGATCCCCATGGACCTCCTATGGCACCCCCTGCAGACCCCTCAAACTCAGGGAGCCCCCAAACTTCCCCCCAGTCCCCCATGAGGGTCCCACCCGGGGGTCCCATACAGACCCCCCTCCCCAGCCCCCAATCTGAGGGTCTCCCCCACCCCTCCCTCACCTCACGAGTTTGGGGGTCCCCTCTGGGGGTCCCACCCCCCTCCTCCCCTCCCCAGCCCCTCAATCTGAGGGTCCCCACCCAGGAGTCACACCCGCCTTCCCCCAGTTTGGGGGTCCCCACCCAGGGGTGCCACCCCCCTCCTCCCATCCCCAGCCCCCTGCTCTGGGGGTCCCACCCCCCTCCTCCCCCTTCAGCCCCCAGGTTGGGGGTGTTGTACCCCCCCTCAGTCTGGGGGGCACCGAGGGGGTCCCGCCCCCCCATTGGGGGTCTCCCTCCCCCTTTGGGGGTCTCCCCCCTCCTTTGAGGGTCCTGCCTCCCTTTGGGGTCCCCCTGTTGCTGTCTCCCCCTTTGAGGTCTCCCTCCCCCTTTGGGGGTCTCCCCCTCCGTAGGATCTCCCCCCACACTTTGGGGATCTCCCCCTCCCTTTGGGGTTGCCCCCTTTGGGGTCTCCCTCCCCCTTTGGGGTCTCCCTCCCCCTTTAGGATCTCTCCCCCGCCTTTGGGGGGTCTCCTCTCCACTTTATGTTCCCCCTCCATTTTGGGGTCTCCCCCGTTGGGAGACCCTCCCCTTTTGGGGGTCTCCCCCTCCCTTTGGGGTTGCTCCCTTTGGGGTCTCCCCCCCTTTGGGGTTCTCCCCCCCTTTAGACCCCCCCTTTGGGGTCCCTGTGGTCCCACCTGGTCCCCGCTGGGGGCGGTGCCGTCGCAGGGGCTGTTGTGGGGTCTGCGCAGGGGCTCCCACTGCCCCCCCCGGTCGAAGGTGATCACAGAGCGGATGGAATTGTCTGGGATGGGCACAGGGAACATCCGGGAATGACAGGGAATGGGGGGCTCAGCACAGCCCCTGACCCCCCAGTCCTGGGAAGGAGTTTGGGGGAAGGGTCACACCCCCCTCCCTCCCACCCGGGTCCCATCCCAGGGGAGGATTTGTGGGGTGGGACCCCCTTCCCTCCATCCCCCCAGATCCCAAGTCCCACCCCTGTGGAAGATTTTTGGGACGGGATCCCCCTCCCCTCCATCCCCCCAGATCCAAGAGCCCAGATACAAGATCCCAGGGGGGGACTTTTGGGATGGGATCCCTCTTCCCTCCATCTCCCCAGATCCCAAATCCCATCCCTCTGGAAGATTTTTGGGGTGGGATCACCCTCCCCTCCATCCCCCCATCCCAGATCCCAGACCCCAAATCCCATGCCAGGGGAGGATTTAGGGGATGGGATCGCCCTCCCCTCCATCCCCCCATCCCAGATCCCAGACCCCAAATCCCATGCCAGGGGAGGATTTAGGGGATGGGATCGCCCTCCCCTCCATCCCCCCCATCCCAGATCCCAAGGGAGGATTTGTGGGGTGGGATCCCTCTTCCCTCCATCCCCCCAGATCAGATCCCAGACCCCAAATCCCACCCCTGTGGAAGATTTTTGGGGTGGGATCCCCCTTCCCTCCTCCATCCCCCCAGATCCCAGAGCCCAGATCCCAGGGCAGGATTTTTGGGATGGGATTACTCTCCTCTCCATCCCCGCAGATCCCTGAACCCTGAAGAGGATTTTTGGGATGGAATCACCCTCTTCTCCATCCCCCTTAACCCAGATCCCAGGAGTGGATCCCAGTGGTGGATCCCAAGTCCCAGGGATGGATCCTACAGGCAGATCCCAGAGTAGATTCCAGAGGCAGGTCCCAGATCCCAGGGTGGATCCTAGCCGGGGGGCGGGGGGGTGTGGATCCCAGGTCCCGGATCCCAGGGTGGATCCCAGAGGTCGATCCCAGATTCCAGGGGTGGGTCTCAGCCCCCATTAATGGATCCCAGGGGTGAGTCCCAGATTTCAGGAGTGGGTCCCAGGGGTGGATCCTAGGCCCCAGGGATGGATACCAGATCCCAGGTGGATCCCAGCCCCCGGGGTGGATCCCAGGGGCAGATCCCAGGTGGATCCCAGCCCCCGGGGTGGATTCCAGCCCCCAAGGTGGATCCCAGGGCAGATCCTGGGTGGATCCCAGGTCCCGGGGTGGATCCCAGCCCCCAGGGTGGATCCCAGGGCAGATCCCAGGTGGATCCCAGCGCACCCTCAGCCAGCACGCTGGTGATGAAGGTGCCGCGCAGGGAGGTGACGTTGGTGAAGTCGGTCTCCCCGCCCGTGGTGGTGTACAGGTGCCTCTCCAGGGACTTGGAGTAGAGGATCCCGCGCTCGTCTGACGTGTAGATGGTCCCGAATCCTGTGTCTGCAGCGGGGGGGGCAGGAAGCACCAAATCCCCGGAAAACGCAGCGAACGGGGGGACGGTCAGCAGAGTCCCATGGGGAAACCCCCCCTGTGCTCCTCCCAGAGCTCCCCGGGGGTGTCCCACCATCCCCGCCTGTGTTCCAGGGCTGTCACACCATCCCTGCCCATCTCCTGGAGCTGTCCCACCATCTCTTCCCATCTCCCAGGGATATCCTGCCATCCCTGCCCATCTCCCGGCACTCCTGATCCCGCTCCCGGATCCCGTTCCTGATCCTGCTCCCAGATCCCGCTCTCACTCCCAGATCTCGCTCCCACATCCCACTCCCAGATCCCACTCCCAATCCTGCTCTGGATCCCAATCCCATTCCCAGATCTGGCTCTCGCTCCCGCTCCTGGATCCTGTTCCCAATCCCGCTTCTCTATCCTGCTCTTGCTCCCACTCCTGATCCTGGATCCCACTCCCGATCTCACTCACACTCCCACTCCTGATCCCAATCCCACTCCTGATTCTACTCCCAATCCCAATCCCAATCCCAATCCCAGATATCGCTCCCGGATCCCGCTCTTAGTCTCACTCCCACTCCCGAATCCCGCTCCTGATCCTGCTCCTGCTCCCGGATCCTGTTCCCGGATCCTGTTCCCGCTCCCAACCCCACTCCCACTCCCGCTCACCCCCGGGCTCGTCCACGTGCATGAACACCAGGTCGTCGTTGGCGGCCAGGATGGAGTAGAACTGCTCGTGTCCCACCGAGGGCAGCTGGGCCATGTTCCAGGAATCCCCCTGGTCCAGGGACACGTGGATGCGCCTCATGGTGCCCTGTGGGAGCAGCAGCGCCGGGATAACCCGTGGGATGGCACAGGGAGACCACGGGACAGCGGGAAAAGCGGGATGGGCACCTGCTCTGTCATGACGGAGGCGAAGAGGAAGCGGCCGCCCATCCCGAAGGAGTAGATCCGGGAGCCGATGGTCCGGAAGGATCGTCCCAGGTCGGGGGTTTTCTTCAGCTCCAGGAATCCCAGATCAGCTTCTTAACGCATGGGAGGGGGGGTCAGGGAGCTCCGGAGGGGTTTGGGATGCTCCCAACCCCCCTATCGCGCGGGACTCACTGCAGGAATTGTTCAGGAACGTGGTGAAGAAGATGGTGTCGTTCTCACCCCTGAGGGAAGAGGGAATTTGGGAATTCAGTCCCAAGAAAAGGGCTGGGGTGTAATTTGGGGAGTGGAGGAGGGGTGGTGATTCCCAAAATGCTGTCCCCCTCCCCATTCCAAAATCCATCAGGGACTCACCACTTGGCCAAGCACACGGATTTGTGGATCTCCCGCCAGTGCTCCCCAAAATCCGTGGAGATCCAGAGCCCGTTCTGGGACAGAGGGGATCGGGATCAGAATGGGCTCCCCTAACAACCCCACCCTGTGTGCCCCCAGCCCAGGACCCCACCAGTGTCTCCAAAACCCCAAAAGTGTCCCCAAACACCCCAAAAGTGTCCCCACACCCCCTCCAAGGATCCCAGTCACCCTGCAGGTGTCCCCAGGTGCCCCACAACTGTGCCCAGACACCCCAAAAGTGTCCCCACCCTCCCCACGTGCACCTCAGTTGCCCCCCCAGTGTCCTCAGTTGCCCCCCCAGTGTCCCCAGTTGCCCTTGAATGCCCCCAGCTGCCCCACAAGTGTCCCAAATTACCCAAAAGTATTCCCTGGTCCCCCACCAGTGCCCCCAGTTGCCACCCCAGTGCTCCCAGTTTCTCCCCTGGTTCCCCCCAGTTGCCCTCCCAGTGTCCCCAGTCCCCCCAGTACCTCGGTGCTCAGTGCCAGCAGGTGCTCTGCCCGCTGGGGGCTGTAGGAGATCTGGGCCAGGGGGTGGAAGGGCAGCTCCGTGGGCACGAAATTCCGGGCGAAGTCCCAGGAGCGGAAAATCCGCCCGCCACGCCCGCCCCCAGACACGTCCCCCGTCAGGATCACCTGCATTTGGGGGGTGTCAGGGGGGTGTCAGGGGATTTTGGTGGAATTTCAAGGGATTTGGGAAAGATTTGGGGGGATTTGGGGGATTTTAGGGGGATTTCAGGGGATTTTGGTGGAATTTCGGGGGATTTGGGGAAGATTTGGGGGGGATTTTGGGGATTGTGATGCAATGTCACCCCACGCAAAACACAAAACACAAAACACCCCACGAGGGAAAGCCAGGGAAATTTGGGGGGGTTCCCAAATTCCCGGATCCCTCCCCTCGTTCCCAGCTCCCTGCCCACCTTCCCGGAGTTCTCGGGCCCGATGGCCATCCCGAATTCCGTGCGGATGAAGGTGTTGTTGATGAGCCCCGTGATGTCCTGGAAGGTTTTCCCGTAATCCTCGCTAGAATTCCAGAGGGGTTAAGGGGGCAGGGTTGGGGGAGGGGTTAGGGGGTGGGGTTAAAGGGGGAGGGCTAAGAAAGGTGGGGTTAAGGGGGTGGGGTTAAGGAGGGAGGGGTTAGGGGTGGGGTTAAGGGGGTGGGGTTAAGGGGGGAGGGGCTAAGGGGCAGGGGGATCCCATTTCGAGGGGGTCGGGGGGTCACCTGCGGTAGAGCTTGGACTGCCCGAAGCTCATGATCACCAGGGGCACATGGAATGTCGTCAGCACCAGGATCACCTGGGAAAGGGGCACGGGGGGGTCACATGGGGATCCCTGGACACCCCACAGAGGGGGGGGTCCTCCCTGCACCCCCTGCCCTCCAGCATCTCGGGGGTGGGGGGGACAGGGGGACACAGGGGGACCCCCAACCCCACAGGGCATGGGGGGACAGAGACCTCAGCCCCACAGGGCATGAAGGGGACACAGGGACCCCCAACCCACAGGGACATGGGGGGACACAGGGGCCCTCAGCCCCACAGGTCATGGAGGGGACAGAGGGACCCCCAGTCCCACAAGAGATAGCGGGACCAAGGGACCTCCAACCCCACAGCCCCTCAGGGACACGGAGGGGACAAAGGGACCCCAAAAGTCACAGGGACATGGGGACAAGGAGGGGACTGAAAGACCCCCAATCTCACAGTCCCGCAAGGACACTGGAGGGACAAAGGGACCCCCAACGCCACAGATCGTGAAGGAGACTGAGGAACCCCCAATCCCACAGGACATGGGAGGACCAAGGGACCCCCAACACCACAGGTCACAGGGGGGACCGAGGGACCCCCAACCTCACAGCCCCTCAGGGACAGGGGGGTTCACAGCCCCTCGGGGGGGACACAGGAACCCCGCTGTGCCCCCCCAGTGCTCACCCCGGTGCTGTCGCCCACCCAGGACAGGGACACGGAGCCACTCAGGTCATCAAAGACACACTGCAGGGGGAGAGACATCACAGGGACCCCCAGAGCTGGGGGGGACAGCAGGGGACCCCCCACAGCGACAGAGCCCCCCCCCATAGCAACAGACCCCCCCTATAGCAACAGACCTCCCCAAAGGGACAGACCCCCCCTATAGCAACAGACCTCCCCAAAGGGACAGA